GTGTGTGTGTGTGTGTGTGTGTGTGTGTGTGTGTGTGTGTGTGTGTGTGTGTGTGTGTGCTCACCCTGTCTTCTCAGCTCGTTCTTGACTGCCTCCACCCCTCCCTTCTTCTCGATGAAGTCGTAGATGACCTTGGACGTTTCTCTGTCCTTCAGCTGAGCCTCAGAGATGCCGCACATGTCGAACAGGTTCTTCAGTTCAGGGTCCAGGTTATTCAGCTGTTGACAAAGTATATTTTAAAATACGCTTTACGCTGGGGAGGACCTTATGAAGGACCTTATGGTGCAAAAACCAGGCCAGCAACTCAAATATGACTTTAGCCACAGAAAAACAAAAATACTTGGGTGGCCGTTAATATGGGCGTTGGTAACAGTGACGTAAACTTCATCTAATGCTTTTTAATGTCTGATGGCAGCAGAAAGAGACAGTAGATGTCTGTATATCAATAACATGTAAACCCAGATACAAGGTAAATCAAAGTCTTATCAATCAGAATCAACTTTGTCATTCTTCCCCTTCTGTGGTGTTTCTGTCCTGCTCATATCACACAACCTGAGCCCGTCATCATTGCTATAAAGCCCAGCATTTGTGCAGGAGTTTATGTCCTATTTCCCCCTTTTTCCTCTCTATATGAAGTATGTCCATGTGTTTATAAGTCAAAATTATGTTTTCATCCAGCAAGTAACTAGAGAATGAGAACTGTGAAACGTTGCACATTCATAAACTTAAAGTGTGAACTTTATAAGGATGTCATGTTTCTGTATCATCTCTGTCCTGTTGGACCCTCAAACCCAAAAACACATCCGCCTGTTTAATGCTCCGATATATTTAAAAGCTAAAGAAAACTATAGTGTACAATTTTCTAATCCAATAAAAGAATATTTACTACATCAGCTTACCTTTCATTTTATTTGAAATCTACAAAAGGATCACATCTTTTTAGCTTATTTGTAGCCGTCACTGTGGGATATTGCCCTAAATATACTGTAACTACCTAAAGCTTCCACACAGTTGGAGTGGACGTATTACTTTGTTTGTGAGATAGTCACAGAGATATAAAACGATATGAACTAAAAATAAATACCCCGAACACCAAAACACTAGGTGGCTGCCACAGGTGTCATCTTTCTCATACAATGTAGTGGAGAAATAATAGGTGATACTACATGACATTTAAAATATAAACTCTGCTGAGCTGTAAAGTGTGTTCTTTGGTTTCTGTGTGGATGTATGTGACAGATTTCACTGTCTTCACTGAAGATGACTGACATTGGTCCAGAAAAGTAAACACGATGCTTGTTTTGTGAATGTCATAATGCTTGCAGTTTAATTCACATCTTTTTGTCGATACTTTTACAGTTTCCTCTTTTGATTTTTTTATGCTGTGCAGACAAAAACAAACAAACAAAAAAACAAAACAAAGGACTGAAGTAAATATGGAAGAACAGGTAAGTTTGCTGTTCGAGTCTGCAGTTGCCTGCAGACAAAGATGTATCCGGGCTAAGGCTTTAACCTTGTATGTTACTTACTGTCACTGTTTGTCTATGGAAATATTAACTCCTGCTGAAGATCTTCAAGTCAGTTTCAATTTAGTCTTATTTATATAGAGCTGAATCACACCAGCAGTGGCTCAAAGTGCTTTATATTTTAAAGCGAAGACCCTTTAACTGAATAAAACTGGTTTTAAAAGCTAAACAGCTCCCTGTTTATGTTGGATTGTTTTTTTTAAACTAATAATAGACTTCCTCATGTTCTAGGTCTGATGAGTGTTTAATTTGTCCGCAGTGCAGGAGCTCAGACTGACGCTCAAAGTGCTGTGTGACACCTTGTGGTGAGCAGCAGGAAATGCACACTGGCTGTACCCTGATTCCTGGTATCCAATCAGGTATTTTTATTTTTCTTATGCTTCTGTGCATTAGAAACATTTATCGAAGCTTTAAAGATTATACTAACCTTACAGGTTTTGTTTAAAGGATGCTACTAAAATAGATGTTTTGGCAGCAACTGAGTTTTTTGTTAGTACGATTCATTTCCTGTGCACAGCCTGATGTGCAGTATAACTGCTGTGAGCCATTTTTAACACATTGGTCTATTTCTTCAGAAATCTTTAGACAAAATGTGATTTCTGTAACTCATATGATATGATCAGCTGGAGAGAAGATAACTGACACAGGTCTGGATTAGAGAAAACCCAAAATAAACTCCAACATCTGCATCTTTTTTTAAATCATTAAGGTTATATGGTGTACATTCATTCCAACTTGGAAAAACACTTCAAAGAAACCATTAAAAGCCCAAAATTACCAAAACATTCGCGCCCATGTTGAGTGTATACAAGCTTCTGATAACAACTGAATGTGAAAACAACAGAAACAGTCTTTACTTGTTAATAATTTTGGATAAAAATGCTTAATGTGATTTACAGAAAAAAATACTTTAATGTTGCTCAGTGGAACTTTGTATAATTTTGTCTATTATCAGACTTCACTGACACATGATGGCTCTCTTACAGCAACAGGAGAGGTGTTTAACTGTTGCTAACAGTAGCAGTTTTACATTAAGCTAAAAAAAACAAAAACACAAAACTAAATTTAAATACTAAATTTAACTAAAAACAATGCCAGAAGCCTTTAGAGAGCGATCTACATGTTGGTCAACTACATTTTAGATATTTCTGTATAATTTTGGAAGGTTGAGCAATTTCTAAGTGTATCCTGATCTTGTCGGGACAATAAGTAACTGTGAATGGATCCAAAATGTATCTGAATGGGACTTGCAGGGACATGACTGATCTGGGCCTAATCAAGTCTGAATCCATCATCCTTATACATTTTGGGTCTGTAAAGTAGACACATAAAGCTTTAAACAAGTACATTTTAATTAATTGCAAGTCATATAGTAATGTATCATAAATGATCCAGTAACACACAGTAAATGTTGCCAGTACAAGGAAAGCGGAAGACAGCGTGACAGCTACATTACTGCCCACAGAGTCAGCGTTACAAAGATGTAACCTACAGATGTTTTTTTGAGCTGACAGAAAATCTGCAAATTCCTTCTGTGCAGGTTTTCAGATGCAGAGCAGGAAGCAACAAGAGCCAAATTTGTGCGATTTCATCAAGCAGCCACCACATAAGTCACTACTGTGCTTGCTTGTGTGTGTGTATATATATAAAGGGGGGTACTCACATCAAAACCTGTGTTTGGATCCCAGCCCACATGACCAATGTGCCTGAAGAAGACAGATGTGTAGTGAGATCATGCAAACACGCGTATGTAAGTACACAGAAGAACATCAGCCGTTTAGCATGTGCACATGATACACAGTGAATGCACACACTGCACTCTGATAATGTGGCCATTGAAGGCTCTCAGACGTTAATGTAACATGTTCACTGTTGCCACAAAGGAGCCTATCATTGCTAGATCAGACTGTACAGACACCACAGTCCAAAAACTTTATCATTTGTCATTGTGTTTCAAGTTTTAGGGTGTGTAAAGCAGACTTTTGCTTTTCTGCTGTTCAGTCTCTGCCTACCAGCTAACACCAGCCTTTCTAATCTTGTGTTTTCCAATCAGCAAGCTTGATACAAGATTCTTTATTCGTCACATGTATAGTTATACAAGTATAACACGCGGTGAAATGTAACCTGACACAATCCACTGGTCACTGTTATGGTGACCTTCATTCAGCTGCTTTCACAGAAAATCTTTTGGCTGGGTGAGCTACAACTATCATGATTACCTGCAGCTGGGAATAGCAGTCTTCCCATCTATCGTCCCGATAACGATATAAATCACAAAAATATAACATTTTTTGTAAATTCTGTGAATCTCGGGCAGCTCGACTTGTGGGAAGTGTTTCCAGCTGGGCGTCATGTAGCTGGAGTCGAGTGTTTTAACCAATGGATGAATCGATACATTTTTAGACATAAGTTGTAAAGGCCGCAGTTTTCTTTGTAAGTATTTATTACACGGCGTGCTGCGGGGAAAAGCCTGTTCTAACGTTTGAGTCTAAGGTTTGTTTTCTAGCACCTGACGGCTCTTTTTTGCTTCTCATCCATAAACACTCTGCATACTCTTTCACGTCATTCAGTTTATTTTGAAAGGTCTCAACAGGATCTTGAGCTTTATTCTGAAAGGTTTATGTGGAAAATAAACAAGCAGACACGCGGTGGTTTTACTGTCGTTGTTGCTAACGACAACGCATAAAAACAGGCACTTGTCCGTCCGTAGTGTGGTTATATTAAATATAAGAGAAAGAGAGAACTTTAAGAAATTAATATAGCCACTACAGTGACCATCAAAACGATGAAAAAAATATTGCTGTAAACAGTTTATTTTGCGACACCACAAAACAAACGATAGCGTAAAATGAAACGATAGACGTTTTTATATCGTCAGCCGATATATATCGTTATATCGAACAGCCCTACTCTGGAGATCAACTATGACCTTGAGGTGTGAATTAGGTCATATTTGTGGGTTTCACAGCGTGGTACGTGTGCATATGTGAGGATATATATGCACATGTGCTAAAGGGACCACGTTTTTAACCCCTACCCTTGTGACAGTAAACAACAGAGAAATAATCAGCTACATCTCGTAGACAATTTTCAACCACACCAAATTAGACTGCAGCTGGTGGTCCTTGTTCTGCTCTCCCACTCACAGCAGATCTCCACAGCAGAACTAGGACTACTGTTGCCAGGTTAAATCTAGGATACTGCAGTTGAAATCTGTTTGGCCACAAGACAAAAGGCCTTAAGAGAGCAGAATGGCCACAAGAGCAGCTTGCCCATATGGAAGAACTGCAGTTACTAAACTGTCAAAATTTGATTGTGCAATAATAAATATTAATAATAAGTAATTTTCTCCATCAACAGATGAAAAAGTTTAACTACATGATAAAATAGGTTCATTATTTTAGACATTTGATTTGGTTCAATAAATTTAAAAAAAGTCCTATTTGCTCAGCACTGGAGCACTCAGTACACTGTGTGGTGTGACTCGGACTCACTGGAAGTTGCTCGGCGTGCCGATATCGGCCTTCGTCAGCTTCTTCTTCTTGCCTTTGGTTTTCTTGTCCTTCCGGCTCAGGCCGCTGTGGCTCAGCATGTTGTTGATGTGATATGGCTGTTGATGGCTGTGGGAGTTGTGGAATCGGACATTGTTGATCTCCGGGTTCTTTATGTCTACTGTGGCCACATGCAGAGTTGGGCCTGTGCATGTGGAGGAAGTTAGCAGAAAGAGTTGAAAAAGTAACAACCACTATAATTTTTTTAATGATTTTTAACAACTCAAATTTTTATTGTCACATATTCAGCCAAAAAGTATCTTTGTGTGTGTGTGTGTGTGTGTGTGTGTGTGTGTGTGTGTGTGTGTGTGTGTGTGTGTGAGACAAAATACAGAGTGAGTGTGATAAGTACTGATGATATATGCTGATGATACAGATGAGTATCGCCAACTCATCAGAAGTAGCTCGATGATCTTCATCGAACTACTACAAACCGCCTACAATGGCTCGACCAGCAGGTACGCATTCATGACGAAGTGTCCGAAGAATTCCCCATCATGACAGGGGTCCGGCAGGGCGATGTGGTGTCACCGCTGTTGTTCAACATCGTCATCGATGCGATAATGCGCAAAGCATTCGAGGGCCGCCGCGGAGTCCAAGCCTCGACCGATCAATTTATCACCAATCTAATGTTCGCTGACGATAGCGCCATTTTTGCCGAAGACGACACCGAGGCAACTCACATCCTCTATGACATCGCCCGGCACTCCAAACTGTACGGCCTCAAGGTTAACGCCGAGAAGACCAAAGTCCTGACCACCGACGGCTCACCAACGATCGTACACCTCGATGGTGTGCAGATCAAACAAGTCCAACAATTTCAATATCTGGGGTCCCTCGTCGAGGAGAAGAAAGTGGCATCATCAGTGGAGATACGCTCCAGAATTGGGCAGGCGGCGGCAGCATTCGCTTCCCTGTGCTGGTGCGTCTGGAAGAAGAACAACATCTCATTGGCGACAAAGATCGGCCTTTACCGAACCCTGATCCTGCCCATTCTACTTTACGGCGCAGAGACGTGGACAATGCTCAAACACGACCTCAGCAAGCTCGAAGTTTTCCAAATGCGTTGCCTTAGATGCATTCTTGGCGTTTCCCTTCACGACAGTCATTCGAATGACACCATCCTCACCAGCTGCGGGAGCCAACCGACGATCGGCGACCTAATCCAGCGCCGCCGACTCCGTTGGTTTGGCCACATTTGTCGAATGGACCCAAGCCGCTACCCCCATGGCCTACTCTGGTTGACCCGCCCCACCGATTGGAGGGTGCATCGAAATGCACCAAAGAAGACATGGATTAAACAAATCCAGGATGATTTGAAGGTCCTTCGACTTGACCTCGAGCAGGCAAGAACCATCGCCTTAGATCGAAAAGCGTGGAAGATAATTGTTGATCAAGCAAGAGAACCTGCGGCACCTACAGCAGCGTACTGGTTGCGCGGCAGACCACCGCCGCTGGTCGCCTGCTAAGGACAAGAAGAACTCATCAAAACATTGGTAGTGTTGTGGTGTCACTGTTTTAGTTTTTATTTGTCATATGCAAGTTAGCACAGGGTCAACATTGCAATGAAATGTGTTTATGTGTGAGTAAATGAGTTTGTGTGTACATATTTCTATGCATCTTGACATCATGAGTTCAGTATTAGGACAGTGCAAAAACATAAAGGGACATCCATTGTGAGAGATTTAAACCTAGCACAGCACCTCTTGACAGCTGCAGCACTAATCATGGCAGCACAGGAACAAGCTCCAAGTACAAGATCCATAGAAACTGGGTGCAGGCTGTGCACAGATGCCCCTGAGACAATCCATCACATAACAGCAGGGTGCAAGATGCTAGCAGGCAGGGCATACATGGAACGCCATAACCAAGTAGCCAACATAGCATACAGAAACATCTGTGCTGAGTATGGCCTGGAAGTCACAAGGTCAAAATGGGAACCCCCCTTATGGTGGTGGAGGATGGCTGAGCTAAGATCCTGTGGGAATTCCAGATACAGACGGACAAAATAGTGGTGGCTAACCAACTGGACATAGTAGTGGTGGACAAGCAGAGGAATACGGCTGTAGTGATACCGAATGAAAGCAACATCAAGAAGAAGGAACATAAGTACCAAGGGCTCAGAGAAGAACTCAAGAAAATGCAAAGAGTGAAGGTAACGGTGGTCCCATTGGTAATCGGAGCACTACGTGCGGTGACTCCCAAGCTAGGCGAGTGACTCCAGCAGATCCCAGGAACAACATTCGAGATCTCTGTCCAGAAGAGTGCAGTCCTAGGAAAAGCAAAGATGCTGCGCAGGACCCTCAAGATCCCAGACCTCTGGTAGAGGACCTGAGGTTGAAGGATAAAGATCACCCGCCCTTATTTACACAAATATATATATTTTAAAGGCTTAACGCCTGTCTGAGGGAACTGAAACTAAATTCCATGAAATGCTGGTTTGCTCTTAACTCTAGGAAAATAATCCAAGCAAGCGACCCTTTTTGACACTCTTACAGTGCCATCAACATGCCTTGCTATAACCCCATGTACCGATATGACAGAAGGCTGCCACAAACTGTGTGGTTTCATCCGTCTGCACTGAGCATTCATGACATATTCTTTTTTTAATGTGCACAATGAACTGTCCATGTTGTTGGTGCAAGCCATACAGTGTGGAAATTCCTTGTAATCTCCACAAACTGAAGTAACATCTGACACAGCCACTAATCCACTAGTAATCTATGTCTGAATCCCTGGTTGCACCCCCACCACACTCCCCAAGAATTCTGGACTTCTACAACTAGACCAACAGGTCTACCTCATCAGCAGCCTAAGGACTAGGGTGGGGTGGGGGAGGTGCTTGTTTCCCTGCCTTCAAACAGAGCTGTTGAGGTACTTTTGCTTTGATATCAAAATAAGTACTTTAATAGTACTGACTGAAAAGAAAATACAAAGGATTAATCATTTATAAAATTCTAAAAACTAACATCAAATATCCATCCACACTGATAACCACATTTTACAGCTTCTTAATTAAAGCAAGGACTCAAAAGCAGCCATCTTTAACCAATATCCAACCTAATCATTTAGATGAACAAAAATGAAAAACGTGCCAATTTCTATTTTGAAAAAAAATTCACAAAACATGAATGAAGTTTAATAAATATTTTAAACTGATGTAATACATAATTATTAATAAGAAGTCCTGGCATTAGCAGGTACAATACACACATAACAATCAGTAATGCACTCAACCACTGTGGCCTGTATGCACGCTCACCATGCAAGGCTCCACAGCTGAAGAAAAAGCATGTTGAAGCGCAGAACAACATTTAGACAAGGTCAAAGGTCAAAGGCACTGCAAAAACACAATACCAACAGTGAAGTTTGGAGGTGGGAACATCATGGTGTGGGGCTGATTTTCAGCATATGGCACTGGCATGCTTCATGTAACTGAAGGAAGGATGAATGGAAAATGTACAGAGACATTCTTGATAAAAACCTGCTGCCATCTACCAGAATGATGAAGATGAAATGAGTGTGGATGTCTCAGCAAGACAATGATTCCAAACACACAGAAAGAAAGAAATTCAAGTTGCTAGAACGGCCCAGCCAATCATCTGACCTAAATCCAGTTGAAAATCACTGGAAAGCACTAAAGCTCAGAGTTTATAGACGGGGCCCACAGAACCTTCAGGACTGTTTGTGGGGAAGAACGGGGCCAAAATCAGACCTGAGCAATACATATGACTAGTTTCTCCATACTTGAAGATGTTATCACCAACAAAGGCTTTTGTATGAAGTATTAAAACCCACACCAGAGGGTTTAAAGAGAACAACAGAAAGCGTGTGGTCTACATACGGCACAGAAAGGTTTCTCCATAAACCAGATTTAACCTGCTTCACTCTGTCAGTGTGAGAGCCAGACTGTGAAACAATGCTGCCAATGTGTTAGGAAACAGTCTACTGGCATTTCTCAAACACACACACTAACACACACACACGTTCTGTAGGACAAACGCTGTTGTCATCACTGTCTCGCCTATGCGGTCATACAAGGAGGTCCTTCTACAAGACCAGTGTTTGCCAGTTTGATCAACACTGCTCTTAAACACTGGATAATGGGAAATGGACTGGTTCATATATAGCGCTTTTCTACTTTGAGCACTTAAAGTGTTTTACACAACTTGCCTTACTCACCCATTCACAAATTTACACCCATTGCACAATCTAACATTCAAGTGCATTCAGACTCCGATGGATGATAATATCTTGCCCAAGGATATCTGGCATGCAACCACCAACCTTCCCCGTTAGTATGTGACCTGCTCTACCACCTGAGCTACAGCCACTCCTACAGCCACTGCAGCTCTGAACTGTTCTAGAAATAACCAGCTGAACTGGACATCAGCTGGTTCTTATTCTATATCCTAGTACAAAGTCAATGGATTCCTTACCAATCGCCATCAAAACTGTCTGAAGTTCATGTGTTTAACAGCTTTCATTTAATGGTCTCTCCACTGTAACCATCAAAACCCACACAAGCAAGTTCAAACAGATATTCCAACTGCTAATTTACTCAGTAATTTTCAAAATACACACACAAAGAACAAAACAAAACAAAAAATAGAAGGTCAATAGTAGCAATCGGGTGCATTTGTTGGGCATATTTGGTGGTTTATAAGCAGATGATCTATATGTACGAAACGGCAGTTTCTGAAATCTAAGTGTTACTAATGTTTAGGAGGTGTATTTACAGAAAGACCTGTCAAACCACCATTTAATTCAATGTAGCAAAAGGGATTACATGAAAACTGAACCAAGAAACTAAAAGCTCAACATGTATTTGCGCACAGATAATTACTGCAGTCCTGGCTTAGATTCTTAGAATTCATTTATTTAGAATAGTAACCTGCTAATATTGGAAATGAGTGAGTGCCTATATTCTTGGTTATTCAGTGCTTCATATGCTACAGTTTTAGCATATTTCTATCAATCCTCTATTGAATCCTTGGATAACTGAAGCGTTTACTTTGCCATTTCTCCACATGTTGCTGTATTTCTTTGTTTTGTTTTTTTACTTCAGGGGATGAATGACATCCTCATTTTATTCATTTCTATGTACTTGTTATTGAATTTTTTAAAGCCTGAATGAGAAAAATAATTTTTACAAAATTAACTAAAGTTAAGAGCCTACGTAAGCAAAACTTATTAAGAGTTTAACATACCATTTTTAGGGTCGCCTCTTTTCTCTGCAAAAGAAAAATTAACAGAATTATGGTTTCAGAAAAGTAATCACGAGTCAGCAATCTTTAGAATGTATGAAGCGGAACTTAAGAGGTTTTAGTGAGAAAAAAAAAAAGAGTCAGAAAAGTGCTTTTTAGGTTCAGTTAGTTCTGTTAAAGCCCTAAGCTGCAGAAATGCTGCTTCACATATGAAAAAAGCATTTTAATAGAGCAGTCAGGTTATTCTTGGCCTGAGCAGAAAAAGAAGAGAAGCAAAAGATTTGAAAGCTCAACTGTGTTTGCCATACAGCGTCCTGCCAGCTGTGCCAGCCCCGTGAGCCTTTGAACCCTCAGTCATCGTCACAGTTTGAGAGGTGCACTTCAAAAGGCCAACATGCTGGAAGGAGCTGAAGGGAAGTCAGAGGAGCCTCACAGCAGAGACATTTACTCTACTGAGAAAGACTGACAGCTTTACAGCAGCAGAGAGAAAGAGATGGAGCACACAGCAGCAAAGCGAAAGAAAAAATAGAAATAGGGGAACAAAACCCCACAGAAACAAACAAAAACACAGTCCCAAACCAAACCTGTCAGTGGAAACCACAGCTTGATGACTGATATGAGAGGTGATATTTTTTTTTTCCGAGAAATACTTTTGGTGAGGATCAGTCCTCTACAAGCCTTCCACTGCTAGTGTCCGGAGAGTCAGTGCTATTCACAGCTCAAAGTAGAGCTGTTTTTACTTTCACCACTAAACAATCCTGCACTTTTAACTACCTCCCCTCCCTTTTCTAACAGTGTGCCAAACTCTAAGTCAGCCCCAAACCTGCCTTTAAGGCAGTGACTTCTGAGCCGCATTCAGGCTGAGTGAGCAAAAGATAAGGTGTGTTCTCCAATAAAAGTTGTGAAAGGTTAAACCAATTGAGGAAGAACACAAAGACAAACTGAAACATTAAAGTTCACCTATTTTCCGCTGTCGTCGGTTGAGCAAGTCATCAATGGTGGCTCTGAATCGTTTGGCTTCTTCTTCGCTGGCGAAGTTCAAGCCAATCTGACATGTCTGAAAGAAAGAGAAAGGGTGAAATGTGATTCTAACAGCTTTCTCTGAAGAACAGAAAAACTGTGCAACATTAAATCGTAATACACTGTAGGTGGATAAAGACAAGCCTGACAACTGATATTTGGAAATATGAAAGAACCACACAGCCTTATTTTATGCTGATAAAATTCTTGGTGAGAATAGACTCTAAAAACAGGATAACTAATCATCTGCTGTAGACATTCAAGTCTTGAAGAAGTCAAAAGAAAACAAACACTTACATCTCCTGCAAATGTAATGAAGTAGGGTCTGGAGTTGCTGATGAAGAAGTTGTGGTAGAGTTCCTGTTCGAACATCATTTTCCCTTCCTACAGAAAAAAATTACGGAAAAATGAAATTGGAAAAAAAAAAAAAGTTCAGAAAAAAAATCTGACTTCTAATCCTCTACAATTTAAATTCATACTCCCAACAACCGAAAGAGAGATTTAAGAGCTGGCTGCTTGTTCAAGAAATTAAATGTCTTCTGGAAGACAATGATGCATTTTGGTATCCTTGAACACACCTCCATAAGGAGCTCACCTCCACTTAGTTAAATGAAAAAATAAAAATAAAAAAAAATCACCAACAACACAACCAACAAGAAACTGTCAAATATTTGCAGCATGCATTTTCTATCTATAAGTAGGGCTGGGCCGTTAATTATAAATTCAATTAAAAATTTGGCTTTGAACACAATCAAACAATTTAAATATGATAAAACAATTACTTATAATTTTTAAGCATAAAACTTGAGCCCTGCCTCTCACCCTATGACAGCTGGGATAGGCTTCAGCGCCCCCCCACGATCCCGAAAACGATAAGCGAAAGCGAATGGACGGACTTGTATTTTATGTTGTGTAATAAATTAAACCCAACGCCTTTTTTCATATTAGTACGTTTAATTCAGCTCCAGCCGAGATGACGGAAGAGTACTTTTGGTCAACGAGCACTGACTAGAGGAAGTAAAAGTTACAAAAAGGTTTTTCAAATCAATTTTATTTATATGGTGCCAAATCACAACAACAATTGCTTCAAGGTGCCTTTTCTGCAGGTGTCTCAGCATTTCCTAGTTTCTGTTACTCAGTCCATGGGACTGAGGTGCTGGGTTTATTATTGGCCCTGCCATCGCACTACCTATAGTTATAATACAGGTCATCTGAGATGCAAGTCTGCCGTCACCTGCACCCACAGACCACCCTCGGTGATCAATACCTACTCGTCTGGTCCACAAACAGTATAAAAAATAAACATAGTTTACAGATCTGAAAAGTGAAGCAAAATAGCTTAAACCTGAATTCTATTTAATGGCCACGAGGAGACAATACTGCTGGCTGCAAATACACTCTGAAAAATACTTTCTGCTGAGTTAATGAGTAAAGATAACGAGTTTATCAGTCACTTATTTTGGGTCATACTGAATAGTACTGACTGGTCATACAGTGTTTCAGAAAGGCAGATTATCCGTGTTACATTCATGGCTAAACGTGAATGTAACAGGGATGGTAACAGTCAGACCCTCCTCTCTCCTGTCACATCTAGTTCAATCAACAGATTGTTTGTTAGCTTAATGCAATCTTATACTTCTGAAATAAAACCTGACCAAAATAATCATGACTGTCCTTCTTGTCATAATTCAGCATTCCTTGATTCTGATAAGTGAGCAGTGTTTTTTCCCATTAGAAAGAGAAAATAAATATATACATGGATATAGAGCAGGGCGATATGGCCAAAAATATTTATCACGATATATATTTGAAAATTTGCGATAACGATATAACTGACGATATAATTGATGCGAGACAAAATACAACTCCACAACATTACTAGCGCAAAAAGACAACCTTCCATTTATTTTCACTTAAACAAGAAGCTGGTTTTTATGTACATTAAAGCTTTATAAAAATGTAACAGTGCAAATGCAAATTCCTTGCTGAAAGTTTAACCAAAAGGCATTTCCAGTAGAAATGGGCTGACATATCCTGAGCATAACCATGTATAATATCCACTGAAGTTAAAAAGAGGTGCTTTGCAACATTAAACTGCAGTGTGCAGTACGTATTTTTCGGACCATAAGTGCACGGGATTATAAGGCACATTAAGCGAAACAAAGCAGTCAGATAAATCAAACTTTATTAAACTCATTCTTCTTGCTTCCTCCACTTCTGTACCATTGATTCATTAATGTTGAATTCTCTGGCAGCTGCTCTATTCCCATGTTGTTGCAGTATATTAATGACTAACCTCGTATTGTGGATGGATTATCTCAGTTGTTCTCCTGACTGAAGTTTGGTCCGTTTACAGCATCCTGCCATGCGATTGCATTTGTCTCTAACTATCAGGAACCTTAACGTTAACTTTTATAAGTGGAAAAGTGTTAGTGTTCGTCCTCCAGCTTCACTGTTTATGTTATGCTAACATAGCTGTGTCGCTAGCGATCACGTAGCACATCATTATATACCAGCTAGCCCAACTTCAGTAACCCTACAAACGTCACTGCTGTTTAGTTTCCTGTCTTCATTTATGTTGGAAGTGATAGCAGAGCTGTACGTTTGAATTTTTTCAGAAATCTCTCAGTCAGAACATGCAATATCATGCTTAGGTAACTAGCGAAACTAGCGAGCTAACTTCCGCTAGCTTCCTGCTAACTTCTAACTCCGTTAAATGTAATAACTTTTGTTTTCATGGATGCCTGGAAGTTAAACTTCATAGTTACACCTGGTAAAGCAGCAATGCTGATCGTTTTATTAAAGATGAAAGAATTTAGACAGTTTTTAACTCTCAGTGATGCTGCAGTGTTCGTTTGACCTGAAGCATACGGAGTTTAGGACCCAGATTACTCCCAGATTTAAGAGCATCTTAGTCCGACAAATACGACAATAACGACGGCCGCTTGCATGTTCTGCAAAAAAATGTGCTTTGTTGTGTATCTGACGGACAAACACCAAACCAGTTCCACATCACTGAAGTTGCACCATTTTTACAAACCAATTCTGGTTCATCTGTTTCACTCAACAATCGGCCATGTGCGTATGAAAACAAAGGCACTGCGCATGCGCGTTTTACTCATATTCTATCGCGATATTTCATTTTCCTATCGTTGCCTAACATTATACCATTACCATGAACGGTATAATATGGCCCAGCCCTACATGGATATATATACAGCTTAAGTCCACACTGATATTACTTTGAGAGCCTGTATCCGCCTCAGGCAGTAACCACACATCTGATAATTCATTTTGATCCATTTGAGATGTACAACTGAATGTACATCATATATAAAGTGCTGTTCTAATTAAGTGAGTGAACACACAGAGTAAATGTGAAAAGTCTGGCCACAACCCTCCACAGAAGCACTGAGAAAAAAAACTAAACAATTTTGTTCCAAGCACCATTCTTGAATAAAGTCTTGATGCATGCTCAATCATCCAGGAGAGGAAATCCCAAAAAGTTGATTCTGTTTATCTGGACGTAGCGTTTTCAGTGGGAGAAACGTTTCCACACTCATCCAGGTGACTTCTTCAGTCTCAGCTGACTGCAGGTTTCCCCAATCTTATAAACAGTTCATTTGCACAATAACTGAAATTAGCACCACTGGCAAACAATGGGATGGCAGGTCAGGTCCATCAGCAGTAATAACAAAATGCAGATGAACAATCAACAAAAAAAACACAAAGAACACTGTTTGCCAGTGGTGCTAATTTCAGTTATTGTGCAAATGAACTGTTTATAAGATTGGGGAAACCTGCAGTCAGCTGAGACTGAAGAAGTCACCTGGATGAGTGTGGAAACGTTTCTCCCACTGAAAACGCTACGTCCAGATAAACAGAATCAACTTTTTGGGAATCTAAGTAACCCCTTTAAATCCGTGTTCTTATTTCTTTTACAAACAAGATATGACTGTTTGTGAACATTAGAGGCAAATTCTAATAAATGCACCGATTGCCTGTTTCCAGTGCTGTAACCACTGCTAAGCTAACTGGCAGCAGGTTCATATTTCAGTTTTTCTTCTGCCAGAAAGCAAAGAGGAAGAAAGAAGAAAAAGAAAATTCCAAAAATGTGAAAATAATCATTTAAGATGCATCTTTCAACTATTCTGCGGTGTTTAAAGCTTTTGGATTGTTTCCGTTTGGTGTCACTCACCTTGATGTCAAAGACTCTGATGAAGTAGGATCTCTGAGGGTTGTCCTTGACAAGGCAGACCACTCCACAGCACCTCTTCACCCAGTTACAGCTCCTCTCAGCACCATACACCTGGACCACTGCTGAACACAGAGTCTGAAGCACAGATATGATGGTTAATATCATCACCTGTGTGATTTACAGAAAGAACAAAGACAACTACAGAAAAGAAGGTTACGTTGCTGAAAATGTAACCACTTTATCTCCCTCCATTTTTTCTTTAAGATTTTACAGACACACAATGTTCTTTAGTATATACCTGTAAACTCCATGTGTGACAAATGGAGGAGGAAACATACACTATGCAAAACCTTCAAACAGCCACAATTACAGCTGGGAGGAGAAATAGAGTTGGTTATCAGGGAAACACTGAGACCTTTGGAAATCAGATTATATATGTCAAATGCATTCTACCTTAACAGGGAGTCACAAATATCAAAGGCTATCAAAGGCCCTACACTGATTCGTGAGTTGTGACTCAGCTGTATTGATGTAGTCACAAACAAAACAAGAACTCTGATGACAAATGGCTGACTTTACATTTACATTAGGTGAAAAGTGAAGGATTTGTAACTCTTATACACCGATTCCCAACTTCAGGAGGGTAAAACTTAAAAGTACTGACACCGCCTCATTGTCTTACACTTTTCCACAGTGTTTTAACAACAACAAGAGGAGTCCAGCTGCAGTAGTCAGCACTGCACAGGTTTCAAACAGCTCCAGTTTGTGGTTTCTGCAGAGGTTGCACAGTGTTTGATGCACTGCCATGATTCCTCTGCAGTGGAAGTAACTCCGGCTGCTGAGGAAGTTAAGAGGAAATGTCACTGCGTCCTTTCCATCTGTAATTTATAGGTGTAGGTCAGAGGAACAGGTGCAAACACTTTTCAGCAGGAAATCACCAATCAGCATCCCCCAGAAAAGGTCAAAATGTGTTCCTTAAAACCTTAAATTAAAAGCATCTAAATTCTTACAGAGGAGAAGAAAGCAGCAATGAACACAGACAGTGGTGACACTGCAGCCTCTGCAAGCTAAGATCTTAGCATCTGTTAACGATGAACACAAAAATCAATATCTCAGTCATTTTTATATCATTAGCAGCCTGGCTGCTTCCTGTTAAACTCCTGATAGTGCCTACTACCATGAGTTCGTGCTAAAAATATGTACATGCATTAATCACTGAAGACGTAACTGATTTGAGCAGTTAGTATTATGTAGCAAATCACAGTCACCTCAAGGCACTTTATATTGCAAGGCAAACACCCTATAATAATACAGAAAAAACTACAATACTCAGATGGCCCCCACAAGCAAGCATTTGGCAACAGTGGGAAGGTAAAACTCCCTTTTAGCAAGAAGAAATCACTGGCAGAACCAGGTACAGGGAGGGGCAGCCATCTGCTGCAGCCAGTTGGGGTTGAAGGGAAGAGGGGAAAAAAAAAAAAAAAAAAAAAAAAAAAAAGAGCGCGAAAAAGAACCAGAGATTATTAATAACTCATGATTAAATGCCTGGCGTCTAAACACAGCGAGTGAAAAAAGGTGAGTGAATAAGAAATACTCTGTGCATCATGGGAAGTCCCCAGTAGACTAGGCCTATTGCAACAAAACTAAGGAAGGATTCAGGTCCAGTCCTACTTGCTTTATCAAAAAGGAAGGTTTATCTATTGTTGTGATCCAAATTGGAAGCAGAAGAGGGGCTTTATAGCTGAAGGCTCTGGCTCCCATTCTGCTTTCAATTTTCTAGGAACCACAAGTTCAGCCTGCAGTCCAAGAGCAAAGAGCTCGCTTATGGTGTTATGGTACTATGAGATCTTTTAAGATAAAATGGGGCCTGATTATTTAAGACCTTTTATGCGATGAGAAGGATTTTAATTAGATTCTGGATTTAACAGGAAGCCAGTGAGGAGAAGCCAGTTTGGGAGAAATATGCTCTCTCTTTTCTAATCTCTGTCAGTATTCTTGCTGAAGCATTTCAGATCAAATGAAGGCTTTTCAGAGTTTTTTAGGGAGGGACATTCTGATAATAATGAATTTCACTAGCCTAGCCTAGAAGTATAAAATGCATTAACTAGTTTTTCAGCATCACTCTGAGATAGGATGTTTACAGATATTACACAGATGCAAGAAAGCAGTTCCACATATTTTTGTTTAATTTGCACAGTGTTACTCAGTGATACTAGCAGCCAAGGTAATGCCATCCAGAGTGAGTATCTGGTTAGATGCCATGTTTGTAATATTTATTTTGCTATATAAGGACAATAACCTCAGTTTTATCTGAACTTAGAAGTGGGAAAATGATCATCCAGTTGGCAAGATAAGTGGGCCAGAGAGAGCTTGAAGTCACCCCGGCTTACCTCTAATCACATCTGAGAGAGGGAAAAAGGTCTTAACATTCAACCTTTTATGTTTAAAATGATACAGACTGTTAGTCTTGGTAGCAGGGGATCGGTCCGCCAGGGCCTCCGCTCCTGGCCACCGCCTGACACACACTGCACCAGACCCCTACAGCACCTCCTGTGGGTGGTGGGCCTACAGAAGGATGGGCCCATGTCCCTTTTTCAGGTTGTGTCCATACAGGCCCCATGGACTGAGGCCTGGCCACCAGACACTCGCCTTTGGGCACCCTCTACGGGCCCAGCTCCAGGGCAGGGCCCCAGTAACCCTATCCCAGTCAGGGTGAACTGTTCCTCTGATTGTTATCGCTATGTCTGGTCCTTCACCCAGGACCAATTTGCCATGGGAGACCGTACAGGAGGCAAAAGTCCCCTGACAACATAGCCCCTGGGATCCCTGGGACACAAACCTCTCAAGCATGATAAGGTAGCGATTCACGGAAAAGGGTGGAGTACCCACTGTGGGACAGAGACGAACTGATGTCCCAAGTGGAGGAGTTTAAATATCTCAGGGTCTTGTTCACGAGTGAAGGGAGAAGGGAGCGGAAGATCAACAGATGGATTGGTGCTGTAGCTGCAATGATGGGGATGCTCTACCGGCCTGTTGTGGTGAAGAGAGAGCTGAGTGTAAAAGCAAAGCTCTCAATTTACTTGTCGATCTACGTCCTTTTCCTCACCTATGGTCACGAGCTGTGAGTAGTAACCGAAAGAACGAGATCGCGGATACAAGCGGCAGAAATGAGCTTCCTCTGAAGGGTGGCTGGTCTCTCCTTTAAAGACAGGGTCAGAAGTTCGGCCATCCGGGACAAGCTCAGAATAGAGCCGCTGATCCGCCACACTGAAAGGAGCAAGTTAAGGTGATTTGGGCATCTGACAAGGATGCCTCCTGGGTGAATCCTGGATGAGGGGCATGTCCCACCGGGAGGAGGCCGGGAGGCCAAGGCGCACTTATTCTCTTAACCTTTTTCCTCACAAAGATCAGAACAAGGTCAGCATTATCTCAGAGTAGGTTAATTAGATATGTATAATTCAAGTGAATTGATTTTGTTTTTATTAGTATTATTTGATTCTGCTTTTGTTTTACTGATTCTAAATTACTTTAATAAAATATCCTGCATCACAAAAGTCTACATTATGGACATCACCTTTTTAGCCCTTTGTTAAACAGTACAGGTAAAAACCCGAGTATTAATCTGCTTTAATATAAATAGCTCTTAGAGGCCACTTCAGCCTTACAAAAGTAACAGACCCCTGGGACTTTCCCAAGTCACTAAATGAAACCAATGATTTTCCAAGAGAACCTATCTGGAGGGGAGCTGCCATTAACAGGTGTGGCTACTGGATGCCAGGCCTGCAAGGGTACTCAGACTCCCGTTTTTTCGCATGAGAGGAGGCAGGGTAGACACCCGGAGAGCTTTTGAGGCAGTTAGAATTGGGCAAGTCCCCTCACCCATCAGCTCCACATAAGCTCTGTACTGCCTACTGGGTAAGATCCATGGGATCAGAGATTAGGATTAATTTGACGGAGCTGTATTGGGGTGCTGGTCCTACAGATCGACACAGGTCTTAATGTCTTTAAGACATTCCTGCAGTTTAACTAAATGAATGAAAATCTATGCTATGCCTTCAAATGGTACTGCCTAAAGGAAGCCTATACAATGTACATAAAAGTGGTTCTAGCACAGAACCCTGTGGAACTCAATAATTAACCTGTGTGTGAAGAAGACGCTCCAATTACATGAACCAATTGGAGTCGGTCAGATATATATGATTCAAACCAATGCAGCACAGTAACACTCACAGCATGTTCTAATCTCTGTAATAATACAATATGTTCAATGGTATCGAACGAGGTCTAGCAGGACAAGAACAGAGACGAGTTCACAAGAAGACCATAAATAACCTTCACTAATCCTGTTAGTGTAGTGAGATGAATTTTGAAACCTGACTGGAAATCTTAAATTAAACCTCTCTGCAGATTATCAGTTATCTGTTTTACAACTGCTTTTTCAAGAAATTCTGAGATAAAATAAAGGTTGGACATCGGCCTAAGCTAAGACAGTTCGGTCAAGTGATTGTTTAATTCCAGCCACCTTAAAGGCCTGTTGTACATAACCCAACAAGCTTCTCGGCTTTTTTAATTATTGTTGAACAGCCCAGCCTTGAACACAGCACATTAACACCATGTACAGGTAATGCTGACAGACTGTCAATCTACTTATTTTCAAAGAAAGAAACCAGAGAGAAAAATCAATTGGAGAGAAAGAGTCTGACTAAATATCACCTATTACCCTATGATATCATAATGTTGCTGGGGAGACATCATCATATTGCAATTTAAAAAAAAAAAAAAAAAAAGGCTGACATCAGCGTGTTGTAATTAAAAAAAGTTTTAGAAAACACAAGAGCTATCCCTTGTGCTGTCTGAGTGTTTTTGTGTTTTCTTGAATTTTATTTGTGAAGAATATAGACAGTTTAATATTACAGGGATGCTTGGTTCAGTGTTCTGACTCTTATCCTGACTACAGTGCTAAAAAGAAACCCTGGGTTGTCCTTTTGTTCTTCATCACTGATGGATAGTAAGATGTCCCCGCGTTATAAAGGGCTTTTTTTTAATAGAGCAACAAACTCTTTTTCAGGCTAAATTAAGATTTTCTAAATTAGTGTGACACTGTTTACTCTCCAGGTTATATGCTTTAAAGTGCGTGTTTGAGAGTTGCACTAGTGAGTCAAGTGCTTCTTAATGGTTTTGCCTTTAGTAGCAGAATAACAGTAATTATTGGAGCTTCAATTTAAATAAATTTAACAGCAAATTTAAGAAGCTGCTTTTATCACCTGCGAGAAGAACTCTGTTGTTATTTTGTTATTGTGGCTATCATTTGCATCCAGCTGATGAGGACATAAAAGCACAAATGCGCTGTGTTCATCTTTAAAGAAAGCCAAGCTCAGCTTTGTACCTGTGCTTATTTACCAGGAGCGAGCATAAACAATGCTGACACTAAGAAAGAAAACTAAAAACACAGTCTCGGAAACCAAAACAATGAGCTAAAAGTCCATTTACTTGCATTGATTCTATCGATTCCCCCCCTCCCCCTTGATATGCATGCACACCTGCATGCCTCTTAAATGTTTTTTCTTCCATGTATTGGCTTAGCATCTAAAGTACTGACTCATTAAGGTTATCAGGAATTGCCCAACTAAAGTATTAAGTATTGTATTAAAAGTTTTATTTATCGCTGGCCATTTTCCCCCTGACCATATTTATCTTTATGTTTTATTTATGAATAGTTGAGTAACTCAATATTCATCTAATTTTTGGCTATTCTAGCTGGACTGAGAAGCACATGCATTTCCCATACAATGTGAAGTGAATACACCTGCACCTACTTTTAAGTTGCAGGTGGTAAACAAACGCAGGAACTTACGGCGCATTTCCTGCCTAAGTAGCAGAACAGGCACTCGTTCTCCTGCGGGGTAAGGAGCAGGGAGCCGACGTTAACCGCCCTGCGGGGCGGCGGGTGGCTGTTCATGGCACCAGAATCTTGTAGTCGACCCCGAAACAATGCAGTTATCCCTGGAACGGGCACTACAAACGGCTGTATTTACAGAAAATCCATGCGGGCTCCGGTTGCTGTGGCCTGCAACCGGATCATCTCCGCTCAGTTCGACTCCGAGCAGGAGGGCGGAGGAGGATGTGGTTGCGATCTCTTTTCCAGTCTGGCTCCTGCTTAGGAAAAACCCTTGTATTCTCAGTTTGATGTTGAATGTGAAACCAGTGACTCGTTAAGTGTACGTAGACAGATAAACGCTCAACTTTCATTCGGAAACTCCAGCGACTGCAGCAGTAATGCGTACATCCAACATGGCAGCAGGAGGGAGCAAACCACTTTAAGGATACAGCAGAGGGGTGTTGCTTTCAACAAAATCTGCCCATATCCGCTATAATACAGATAACATGGGCAGAAAAGCCGAAAGATGTGACACATTAAACACTGTAAAACTGTTGAATTATATATATATTTTCCGTGGTAAGAATAAAATGTCGCTGAAAACAAAAACGGTTCATCCCATGCGGCAGCAGAAATGCAGCTCTGCAGAGGGAGAATGGTGGGGGGCAGGGGGATGCCAGTAGATGTAGAGCGTGGAAGTATGAAGAAAATTCTCTATAAGGAAACAATTAGCTTTATCATTATCATTTGCCTGAAATTAAACCGACTGGATTGTAAAATAACATTATATTCTTGTGCTAATCCAGATATAAAATTTATTTTTATATTATACATATTCTACTTTATCTTGCACATATTATAATGTGTGCAGTATGCAGTATGTAGCCTACTATGTGTGTTTAAACATAGTAAAATAGACTTGATTTACTGCTTTCTTAACCAGGAACTTTCTAACCACCATAAGCACTGCAGACATTGAGAAATGGATTTTGGGAGACCAAAATAATGTGGTAAAAGGCTCAATTCTCTATGATAATTCCCTATGACATTATTTTTACAGGTTACATCTTTATAGTTGTCTAATTAAGTACTTAAACCTGATTCCATGACCTGACCACTAACCATTTTTCTGCTTTTCTACTGTTTCCACTCTTCTGGTGTTCTGCAAAATGCCCAGAATGGCACATATCTGCAGTCCTTATTATTCCAGTCAGTAGTGGTGAACAACTACCAACAGAGCCTACAATGATAAGTGACATCTTATACGCTCAAGTTTCAAAACTTGATCTGCTAACATATTAGTGCCAGACACAACAAGGTGCCTTTTAAGGTTTTGTAGAAGACCAGTCCAGAAGCATAATGTGTTGGCTGTTCATTGTATAAGACATGTTGATATCAAGAAGCACAATGTTAATGCTCTGCTGTGACAATCAAATTAACCTAAAATATATTTTAATGGTAAACAATAAAATGTTGAAGTTTGTGAATGCTGAGGTGACAAATGGACAGACAGTCTCATGCAGGACCTGTCTTCATGCAGCAAGTACATCAGTGGCATTAACACCAACACTAATCTGGAGACCAGCTGCTCCTACATTCTGCAGTATAAAACACTGAGCAGAGGTCACAAGTTTCAAAGAAGCAGCACCGACAATCTACGATGTTCTCATGAAGCAGGATCTCAGTAATTGAAAACTTTGGTAGTCATTTTTGGGACCAAGGATTTTATCCTGTAAAAAAGTCTTGTTTGCTTAAAATGTTATTTAAAAAGCTGATTAGTTTATCTTAGTTTCAACAGATGGTGGAGAGGGTTGGGGGTGGAAAGTTGTTCTTGCTAAATAGAGGCAGAAGAGATTTCTAGCACAAGGGATGATGCAAAACCAAGATGGTTATACTTTTTTTCACTGTTTGTTTTGTATTTACACTATTAGGATTCGTGTAATACTATCAATATCATATCATATGAATTTATAATAGTTTACCTAAACATTTTATTGCAAAGCTATCGAATTTTGTTTGCACGTTCAGTACATTTCGGTAATCATATTGTTGTACTTACAATTTTATTATTAAATAGCTGGGATTTTTTTTGTTTGTTGTTTTTTTTCTTTTTACTTTACTGCCACCTATATGGTATTGCTAAAGTACCCTAATGTCCACTAGATGGTGATCTTCTCATGCTTTTCTCTTCCTTGGTTGATGGTGGGAAAAGAAGCATTGTAGAGCAGAGGTGGGCAATTCCAGGCCTCGAGGGCCGGAGTCCTGCAGGTTTTAGATATCACCCTGGGTCAACACACCTGAATCACATAATGAGTTAATTACCAGGCCTCTGGAGAACTTCAAGACATGTTGAGGAGGTAATTTAGCCATTTAAATCAGCTGCGTTGGATCAAGGACACATCTAAAACCATCACTTCTTGTTCAAGAGTGATGGGAGAAGGGCGCAGGAGATTGACAGCTAGATTGGTGCTGCAGCCGCAGCGATGCGGACGCTGAACTGCTCCATCGTAATAAAGAGAGAGCTGAGTGTAAAAGCAACACTGTCAATTTACTGGTCGATCATCCCCCAACTATCACCTATGATCACGAGCTGTGGGTAGGGACCGAAAGAACGAGATTGCGGATACAAGCTGCAGAAATGAGCTTCCTCTGAAGGGTGGCTGGCCTCTCCCTTAGAGATCGGGCGAGGAGCTCGTCCATCTGGGAGGGGCTCAGAGTAGAGCCGCTGCTCCTCCACATCAAAAGCAACCTGTTGAGGTGTTTCGGGCACCTTACAGGATACGTCCTGGGCACCTGAGTGAGGTGTTCCAGGTATGTCCCAAATGATGGTAGGCCCCAGGGCAGACCTAGGGCAGGTCCAGGACTCGCTGGAGTGGTTATGTCTCACGGCTGCCCTGGGAACTCCCTGGTGTTCCCCCGTACAAGCTGGAGGATGGCGGTTGATGGCTGGTGAGAGGAAGGTCTGGGCTTCTCTGCTTAGGCTGCTGCCCCCACCACCTGGCCCCAGATAACTGGAAAAAGATGGATGGGCTTTAAATCTCTGCATAACACAGAATCTTATACTTGGGGTTGTTAATGACATCCTCCTGGCTACAAATGTAGGAGATCATGTGGTCTTCGTTCTCAGGGACTTAACAGCTGCCTTTGACATGGTGCATCACAATATTTTACTATCTCACTTGGAACACTGTGTAGGCATTTGTAGCACTGTTCTGCAGTGGTTTAGGTCTAAGAAAACTTTTTGTGTCAGTCTTCTTGGATTTCAGATCCTCCTCAGCTCTAGTCTTGTGTGGCGTACCACAGGGATCAATACTTGGACCTCTGCTTTTCCCCCTATATCGCTTGCCCCTTGGCTCTATTTTTAGGAGGCACAAAACTGCTTTCTATTTATATGCAAATGAGATGCAGGTTTATATGCCTCTAAAAGAGAAAAATTACTACTCCATTCAAGTGCTAAATGACTGTCTTTGAGGAAGTGAAAACTTGGTTGACTCTTAGTTTTTTAAAATTTTAATGAAAATAAGACAGAGGTTCTGTCTATTCGGCCAGGTGTCACTGGTGGGTTATTTTCACGTGGACACTGGCCCTCTAGCACAGTATGGAAAGGCCACTGTCACCATTTGGGTTTTAAAATGGATAGTGATTTTTGGTTTGACAGTCAAGTGAGAGCAGTAGTGAAATCCAGGTTTTTCAGCATAGGTAACTGGCCAAAATTTAACCCATCTTGTCAAAAAATGATCTCAGAACAGTATTCCATCCTTTTATTACAACTCGACTGGATTACTGTAACTTGTTATACCTTGGTATTAGCCAGTCATCCTTGTCACATCTTCTGCTGGTCCAAAATGCTGCTGCAAGACTTTTAACTGGTACACAGAGAAGGAAATGTGTTACTCCTGTTTTATCCTCACTAATAAACTGATCTGCAAAGGCCAGTAATGTTATGGGAACAGAGCTGGACTCCCTTAGGGTGGTGCATATGGCCACCTATGTGTACAAACATGGAAATTAGAGCATCAAGGGAAGCAGGTAATTCTTTAGCTGCTAATTCTCTCTTTAGTTCATTATTTTAAAAGTACAGAAAAACACCTCAGAGGCCCTTTTCCTCCCAACCTGTCTCTTCAGCCAGAATCCAAAAGTTGAGTGATTAATCCTCAACACTCCTCTTACATTGCTTAAAATAAAATAGCCTGTGAGTCGCTGAGTATGGATTAGAGCCTTTATCAAACACATTCCAGAATTTGTTTAAGAATTCTTCATGAGACATGGATGTTTGGGTCCCCATTTTAAGGCTCTTCCTTGCAGTAGTGCCATCAAGAAAACTAAGGCACACTGGGAAACAGGCCACGTCCTGACAATGCACCAAACCTGGTACACACACACACACACACACACACACACACACACACACACACACACACACAGACTGGGAAAGGAGGAAGTGGAGAATAGGGAGCAACAACAGTGCAAAAAAAATGGCAGCTCACACTTTGAGGACCGACGGACCGTGACAAAATTATGCATAAACTACGTGACTTTGCATCTTTCATCTCTTTGTGTATGAGAACCTCCTGCCTTTCATGTATTACTGTTTAGGTTCAAAGTTTGATTGTATAAAGGCATGCATTGACTTGAAAAAATGACTCCCCTCAAATGTCTTAAACCAAAAGCAACAAGCTTGTTTGGAAATTGTGAAGAGTAGAAAGTCCAGATATTGGTGTGAAAATGTAAGGATTAAAAGGAAAAAGGAAAAATAATCAAGTAAAACACAGTTATTTAAAAATTCTACTACAATACATTAATCAAGGGTATGTACTTTGTTACTCTCCACCTCTGATCATGACTGAGTAAATGAACATGGTCATGGAGATGCTCTGACCATCTGTTGCTCTAAAGTGTTCTCTTCTTCACATTAAAACGTTTCTTAAAATCTAAAATCTGGTCATTTAAGGAAATTCTCAAAACAAAACCCCTCCATGAATTAATCCTAACTGTTGTCAATATGTTGCATTTATTAAAGACTTTCTTTATGAAGATGGCTTTGTGAGTATTGAGTAACGTTGGAGGAGGGGACAACAAAACAATACTCGGGCATTTCTGCCCTGATATCACCCCAGGGACCCAAAAGAATTGGGTGCAGAGACAAAGAGATCATTCACAGCTTATCAGATGGAGATTTTCTGAGTTTTACAACACCAAGAGAGGAGGCAGTCATCCACCAACAGGTCTTAATTTGAAGCACATTCAGTAAAGAAGGGGAAGGTATGTAATCTGTTCAAGAAAATTGCTATTATAGCTTCTTTAAACTGTTTTACCTCATCAAACGATAAATAGCAGATACTAGACAAGGAATCAGTATTTCCATAGTTGCTAATAGTGTGAAGTTTTGCTTGGTAGTTAGTGGCCATTAAAAAGCAAAACGGTGGAAAATCGTTAGTTGCCCTTAACCGAGACTGTGAGAAGTTGTGACTGTGCCTGGCAGTGAGCTACTGTCCTTTGCCGTTGTCCCAGTGTGAAAAGACAAAAAGACTCATCATTCAATAACAGTTAAAAATGTCTATATCATATGTAGGTACTGGGTTGTCGCAAGTTTTGGGCAACTCATTTG